ATTTCAACGGTCAATGTAGGAAATACGCCAGTCCCATGGAGTGTTTGTTTGTTTTTTCTATCCCATCATCTCCCCCGGTTATGGACAAAAACGCCCCACCGAGCGCCCCATCGCCCCAGCTCCGCCTCAGTTGGGATGGTCTCGTTCACCGCCCGGTGTGGTGCAGGCGCGCGACGTGGCGGCGCGTGACTCACGGCGCGTGGACAAACGGAAGGTCAGACCGTTGCCCCATTCAGGGCTGGTCACGACAGATGAGCGACTCTTTTAGAAGCTCCCTGTTCATGTTTAGTGGTGGGTATGAATGGTTCGCGTCTGCAAACCCATAGGCAGATGTCATGTCCAGCCTGGCCCTTTGGCCTCCATTTGAGATATGTGGCGCTGTTTGCCCCAACACGGGACCGCTTGCCTTTGGGATTGAAGTTTCGATTCCTCCAAACTCCAAACCTTTTTTCCTTCCTTCCGCTTGGCTCAGCGCACACACTACTTTCAGGTCGATCCTCAGTCTCTTTTGATTTTTCAGGTCGATCCCCCTCAGGATTCACAACTTCTCGTGATTCTGACCCCGGACTTTCCCTCCACTACTATCTCATCCTATCTCTATCTCGCCCTATCTCCTCTCCTCGCACCGAGTTCAACGGTCGCTCGCCATCTCGTTCTTCTCACTCAGGACTGTTCGGCGCGGCTCCTGAAGCGCTGCGTGGAGGGCCTGGGGCATGAGACCTTGTTGGCCGCCAGGCACCGACCGCGGTCATTTCGGGGGAGAGGCTAATAGGTTGAAGGCCATCACTATAGGTTGGAGGTCAGTGCTAATAGGTTGAAGGCCATCACTTTCGGTTGGAGGCCACATCTGTTAGATTTGAGGCCGCAATTCGAATCGAACACCGTTCGGATCACTGGGACGGTTGAGGGACGCGGCGACGAGGTTGGGCGGGACGTGTCTTTGGGGTCGCCTTTGGGGACGCCTTTGGGGACGAAAAGAAAGCATGGTTGTTCACATGCACGTCACATCACGTGTGTGTGTATATATATATATATTGTGTATATCTGTGTATGCTATTGAGAGATTCTATTAAAATCTATTAAGATCGAATGGACAAGGGTCCAAA